ACTTTATCTATTTTACTCACTATTTCAAAAAAGCACCCCATTCACCTTAACCAGGAATCTATCACCAGTAAGAGAAAAACAGATTCATTCATCATTTCCTCCCCAATAACAGGCTGCTGATTCGCCACCACATACCCCAGTTAAAGTCAAATAGTCATAAGTATCTTTAATACAGTTAAAACTCTTAACTAAGTTTGTTTGTTTATAAACTACTAGTTTATAAAGTCTTTGATCAAAGGTAATAGTATTAAATGTATTCAGCAGAATCTAATGTAATGATTTCTTAATCACTAATACATTGCTTCCAATCAGAAATTCATGAAGGAATGACCTAGTTTGAGAAATAAGCTTCTTTTTAATAACAGTCATTTAGATCAATATTGGTATGCTTGACAGTACACTCAATTCCATTTTGTAGGATACAGGTTTTGTTTGCCATAGTGATTTGCCTTACTTAATGACAGCATTTATTCTCAAAAGATATATTTATATATCTTTATCAATAAATGGGCTTTTCAGAAAATAATAATGACACAGATAATATACAAAGATAGGCATGAGGAAAGAAATGAAATAAATGAATGAACAATTCCAGAGTCATATGATTATTAAATCCTTGGCTTAGAACTTGTTTTTTTAATATGTTGACTTTAGTTATAAATGACTGAAATACTCCCTAAATGTAACTAATATTTTAGTTTCTAGTTTACAATTAGTCTTTCATCTAATCTCTATTATCTAGTCTTATATATGTCTAATATCTCTTACTGATTACAAATCTACAACTTAGTGCAATAAAATGTATATTATTAGAGCAAAACCATGATTTTAAAATGCCCTTTCCTAAATATTTGCCTCTTTTTCTCATCCATGTCACTATCAGTGAAAATTTAGGTAACGGATTATTATCTTTAGCTAAGTGCTCTGGTATACCAAACATCAGCAGTGGCTAGCTAATATGATATTAAACAGCCAATGGAGCATAATCTATTCCTGTATCACAAACATATATGTACTCTACTTTCCTGATGTTTCCATGGAGCTTACAGAGGTAGTGGTCTGCTTCCCTAATAAACAGATTCTTCAGAAATAGGGGGGAAAAACGGTGAAAAGTGACACATTTGATACAGTGAACCTGCTGTGTAATTGTTAAGACTGACTAAGTATAATTACTACTGAGGTTTTTTTTTTTTTTTCATTTATTTTTATTAGTTGGAGGCTAATTACTTTACATCATTGCAGTGGTTTTTGTCATACATTGAAATGAATTAGCCATGGATCTACATGTATTCCCCATCCCGGTCCCCCCTCCCACCTCCCTCTCCACCCGATCCCTCTGGGTCTTCCCACTACTGAGGTTTTAAAAAAATAAAATAAAAAAGAAAATTCTTACATCTCTCCTACATCTCATTTCTAGTCTCAAAGCAACAGTACTTGTTTACTTGCCTCATGTTATTCATCATCACACTGTCTTTAGTCTGTTATAAATAGTAATAGAGAACATGAGAAATTGATATATTAAAAACTAGATATTAGATTACTAAAGATCACATAACTTTCGTTTCTAATAAATCAACGTAAAAAGTTACTAATAAAGATACTGTTTTCGCAGATGGACAGTAATCTTCAACTTAAAATGTTTCCATGATAGCCTATGTAAATGTTCCCTTTTACCTGACCAAAAAAATAATGTAACTAAAATATCCATGTTACATTAATTAATCATACTCATTTCCAAGTTCTGAATGATTCAAGACAGTGATAGAAAAAAGAAATGCCTTTGCTAAATATTTTCCTACTATATTCTTTCAAAATTCTAACAGTTAATCGATTTGATAAGTTTCAATATCTGTATATCGTATTTTCCAAATTTATAGCTGAGACAGGATTACAAAAACATCCAAAAGATGAAAAGTTTCAAAATGGTATAAAAATTATCTTTCAAGAGATTATCAAAGATGACACAAAGAAGTCAATTAAAGATTTAAAAAATGACAACACAATTCACCAAAATACTAACATATTGTAAAATGTGTGCATTTCCTCTAAAATATGTAAAACCTCTCTAAAACAGACTTACATAAATTACTTAAAATCACTATTATGAAACATGAAGAGGCTATTTTATAAAACAAGCCCTCCACCTTTAAGTGAGACACAAATTATAACTCAAGAAACATGGTTTCAAGTGTGGCCTCAATTCAATTTTCTTAAGTATGAAATCATAGTATCTGCTTAAGTTCAGTAAAGAATAATTTTACATAGTAAAATTCAATACTTGGAAGTTATACAAAATTGTGCAAAATGGTTTTATTTTTGTAGGTTTTCACTGTGTGTGGAATGTGAAGATCATAAATATTAAGCTATTCATAGTAAAATCCACTATTCACAAACAGAACTAGTGCTCGTTCCTCTGATTCTTCTCCATGTTTCCAGGCTCTAACATAGCAGACAATATTTGTTTCAATAATTTTAAGTAAAAATCTCTCAGAATTATTTCTGACTCCAAATATCCATTTTATCACCAAATTCTATCGTCCTCTGTTACCATCTCTCCCAAATGTGCACCTTCCTTTTCATTCCTTCAGCTATATCCTCATTCCTGACCCCAGACTCTCCCCGCTAAACTACTGTACTTCATTTTCATGAGATAGTTTGACAATCTATTGTCTTTAATTCCACTGCCAAAGTTATTTTCTCTCAATGACATTCTGCTTGTGCCACCTACCTATCCTACCTAGGTATTCCAGGGCCTTTGCATTACATTTTTATTCTGCTCAAGAGCCTCAACCTCAGCAACATATCATTTATAAGGCTGCTACCGAACTGACTTTCAACTCCCCTTAAAAATGTCAGTTTCTTCTTACCACTGATAAACATAACAAATTCTCTCTTTAAGTAATCACATTTACTCCTAATCCATCTGAGTAACGAATACCTTTTACACTTAGTTTTCAATCATACAAGTAATTTATTTAGACAATTTTAGCACAGTAATTACATACAATGTTTCTTTATTTGTTTGCGTATCAATGTCATCCCTATCTGGCTGCAGAGACACAGATAAGGGCTGCACCTTTCAAAGCATTCTGTACAACAGCTATCTACTATGTCACTTGACTCAGGTAAGCTGATTCATTAAATAAAACTATCAGAGAAAGCTTAATTAAACAATAAAAAAAGTTTTTTAAAAAAATCTCTATGGTTTAACTTGAAAACATTCATGACCTTTCATTTCTGTGGACAGTTGACACACTTCGCGTTCTATTAAGCTTTACTCTCACTACTCTATTAATTTTAAATTCTAAAGTGAGAGTTGAGGGCTTATATACGGTGTACAATTTCACACCCCGCAAAAAGACTCTAAAAATCAGCAATGTCAACTCCAAGATTTCTGAGTTACAACTGAATCTTCACACAAAGCAAGAGCTTCAGCACCAAAAGAAGCGAACAGCGCATCTTCTAATGGGGTGGGAGGTGGTTTCCCTTCCCTGCAACAGATTCAGACTAGTTTCTCTATCGCAGGGGCTTTCAGTTAGGAAAATTCAATAAATTACCATTAACATCTGGAAACAATATCAGAGAAAGACGACCCAGTTATTTAAAAGAGAACAAAGGGTACCATGAATATCTTCTTCATAAAACTCAGCAGCCAAATTAAGCTTTTGCATTCTTTATCTAATCAACAGAGATGTTTCTCTGCCTAATAATAATAATAAAGCAAGTCTCATTCAATTTAGTCCCTTCTCGAGCACCGTCTCAACCTGTCAGAATTTGACAAGGGGCAAAAAAAAGTGTGTGTGTGTGTGTGTGTGGTGAGGCGGGGGGAAGGAGAGGGGGGAGAACATGAGGATTCCCGTCTACATCGCTTCTTTTTCCAAAATCAGTAAGTCTTGGATTTCCTTCCCTCCGAACTAAGCTCTCAGGTTCCAAATACAGTTCTTTAACCCCCACCTCGCCACTCAATTACATAGAAACCTTACCAACTACAGAACCACAGCAGAAACCCCTACAAATCTTGCTTGCTATTCATCTCGGAAGTCATGCCCTGCAGCAACTGCCTGTCGCCGAACTGAGGGATATTACCCAAATACAACGCAACGGAATCAGACATGCAGAGCACACACGGCTTCCGCGAAGGAGGGAAACGCGACCCGGGAAAAGTGCGCTCCTCACAAGCCTAGGGAGGGTGGGGGGAGGTCCCAGAAGGGAGGGGGACAGAAGAGCCCGAGTAGGGGAATCCTTCCCTCTCAAGTAGAAAGGCAGGATCCCCAGTCGCAGGCTACAGCCACCCCTCTAAGAAAACGAAGAGGCGGGCAGAGGGCCCTCCACTTGGGAAGGCAGAATGCACACACTTTCCGAGGTCCGGGTGCAAGCCGATCCCCACCTCCCGGGGTGGGATGGGGGGACGAAGGGTGTCCCATGGGTGGCAGAGGGGATTTCCGGCTCGCGAGGGGCAGCCTGAGACCGAGCAGAGTTTCGCCTAAAGAACACCCATGTCGTCTGTGGCCGGTGCCCCGCGAAAGCACTGCTAGAGCAGCGCGGGGCCGCCCAGGTAGGGGGAAGGGAAAAGAGGGAGGGGGTGGAAAAGGGATTCCCCTCTCTCTGGGACAAGCAGTAGCCGAGGGAGCGCGCGGGCAAGCCGAGAGCGGCATGCTTCAGACTGCGGAGCCGGGATCCCGTCGCCTGCACCGGCAGCCAGGAGCCCCGCAGCGCCCGCCGCACCGGCCCCTAGATCCCCAGGGGCCCAGGACTTCGGCTGCGAAGGCACTGGGGCCTGATATCCCACGGGATCGGCCCCAGCTCCCGGGGGACCCCGCGGGAACACCCCAACCTCCCAGCACCTCTCAACGGTTGTAAAAACGTCCGCCCCCCCACCCCGTCCCCTTCCTCTGCCTTCCCTTCTCCCGAGGCCGCAGAGAAGGGTCATCACAGGCAAGAAGCCCGAGGCAAGCCGGGGACAGCGGCCGCGGCGGTCCTGGACCTCCTCCCCCGGTTACCTGTGAGGACTCCAACCCGGATTTGGTGGTCGTGGTTAGTGAGGATCATTCCCTCGGTCGCCATGTTTCCCAGCGCAGTCACCGCACTGACAGGAGCCGGGAGAAGCCAGAGCCCCGAGCGCGCGGGCCGGGAGCGCGCTCGCTTTGGAGAGCGCGAGAGTGAGAGTGCCCGGGGAGCGCGAGCCGAGCAGGGAAGGAGGGGGAGGCCGCCGAGCGCTCCGCGGCCTGCGTGAGTGAGAGGCCGGGCCCCGAGCGCGCGAGTCCGCTGGGGGGTAAGGGGGCGGAGTCAGGGCGCGGGACCCCGACTTCGGGTCGCAGGCGAAGGGCTGCGGGTGGGGAACGCGGTGCCTGCCCAGGGAGACCGCGCGGAGGCGTAGGAACGAGGCGGCAGAGACTCGTGCTGTTCTGCGGAGCGCGAGACCCAGCGCGGCTAGTCGGCAGGAGACTGAGGGGAAAGGAGAGCACAAGCTCCCGAGATTGCGGGGGTGGACTCGGGCCAGGGGCGGAGCTACACCGCGAATCGTGGAACTCGTGGAGAGTGAGGGGAGGAGTGAGCGCTCGGTTGCGAAGTGCTTGGAGCGGGAAGGAGCCGGCCCAGCCCAAACTGGACCGGGGAACGCTCCTGGGCGCGCGAGTAGCGCCGGATTGGCTAGGAGAACGCGGAGCGAGTGCGCGCGAGACACGAACGCAGGCTCCGCCGAGCCCCAGACAGAAGCAATCCCCTGCCGATCCCGGCTCCTCGTCGTTTGTCCGCGACTCCGGCCGGCTCCTGGGGCTACGGAGCCCGCTCTACCGGAGGGGAAAAGGCTCCAGGGATCCTGGAGGTGTCTTAGAAACCAGCGTGAGTGGCACAACCGCCAACTACTGTGACAGCCCGCGGTGAGCGAGGGAGGAGGTATCCTATCCTGCCACATCCTCGCGCTTGCTTTTTTAGTCGAATCGACCTGCCCGAGGATTTCCCAACTCCAAGGCTGTACCTACGGGAGCGTCCTCACTAGCGAAGCTTAGGAACCTGCGGCAGAGCCCCTTGAGAAATAACAGGCTTCTGCTCCTCCCTCTATCCCATGGTTTTGTGGCATCGGTCTTCTTCGCTAGAGGCTCTGCTTTTAGTTGAAAACCACCAATCTTAGAAAATGAGATTAGAGAATGTTTCTCCCACCTGAGCTACAATCACAAAACTGGAAATAGAACCCTGGTGGTGGCAATTTTCCTTTCAGTATTTGTGGGATGAGAAATTACCATGAAATAGCATTTGTTGACACTTACCTTCATGTATCTTTTATGAAGTGTTATTAATCACCTGTGGCTATTTCACATAGGTTTCTTAGTTCTTTCTAGCCCTTTCAACTTCTGAATAAAACATATACACCCATGTATGTATAATTTTTCTTCTCAGCTATAGTAAAACTGGGAAGCATAAAAAATGAAAATGTAAAAAAAAAATGAAAATGTGTCCAAAAAAAGTATAATTATCATTTGTACACAATGAACATCTCAATTTGATGGTTATATGAGTTTTATTATGCCAACTAGAACGTGGACTAATGTCTAACTGAAGATTCATATTGTTACATATTTCATTTTAAATAATGGGAGTACATAGGAGATGATGGGTGGAATTGAGGTAGAATAAAATCAGTAAAATTACTTTTGAGTATGTATTGCTAGTATTTTTGACAGGATTTAAAATTGAAGCCAGCTCATGATCCCACTTCCTATAATGATCTATCACCATAGAGCCTGGGAGCTTGTGGATTCTGAACCAGTTTAAATGAGAGGTATATATGGGAAGTATAAATTCAAACAAAGATAAGCAAATAGTTGGTTACTTTACCTTTCTATCTTTATTCCCTCTAAGGCCCCATAATCTGAAATGATTTTAAAATATCTTGTATTTTTAGAGAAATTCTAATTCTGCCCACTATAGATTCTGTAACCTTAAATAAATTGGGGCCTTTTTCTATATCCTTTAAATAAATTGGTAGATAAGCACCCTTTCAATTTAGAGTATTCTGTTATTATTCATGGAAAGAAACTGGCAAATTCGTTTCACAAATGACAGAAAGCAAGAAACTTTCTGTATCTATAAAAGCAGTAATGGTAAAATTCATTAAAATTTAATTGGGAAGGATAAAGATGAATTAAGCCTTTTAAAGTATATGGAGGTTTGTTAAAACTACTAAAATTGTTGAAAAGTAATGTTATAATAAAATTGGACAATTATAATAGATGCTTGTCTTTCAACAGTTTTCCTCAAGTGTATTCATCTCTGCTGAATTTAGGAATCTGTAAAAAAGAAATGTATGTACACAACAAAATTTACACAGGAAAAGTCCAGCGACCTTACTGTCTAATGTGACTTTTTATTTTACTGCTGGTTATTGAATGAATATTGGGTATGCACATGCTTTTTAACGCCATGTGACATTTCTTCAGAATTCATCCTGGAATCAAGTTTACAACAAAGAAGGCTTTCTGGAAAGTAGAAAGAGAGTAGTATTCCCAAACCTTGATAAATATCTCAGGAACATATAGAGACGGGGGTGGGAGAGGAGAGAAAGTAAAAAAGTGAAAGGTTTGTACCTAAAGAATTAGAAATGCCCAGGGATTTATTCTCTCCATTCCTGATATTTTAATAATGAAAACTAAGAGTTTACGATGAGAATTAACATAAAAGATGGGTAAATATTTGGCTGTCATAATGATTTTTGTTATAAAAGTTATGAAAGTTTATCAGAAATGAATTACTAAATGAAGTAGTAATGGTATATTTTCTAGTAATGGTGTATTTACATTTAGCCTTCCTAGGACTTTAGTTTTCCTCTGGTTAGTCACACTTTCAATGTAATAAGGCAAAAATTTACTGGCTTTTCTGGGGTTAGACTCTCCTCATTAGCACTAGATGGAAAAGGAACAAATTTGGTAATGGATTATTTGTCTTATTCTGCTCTTGCCTCTTTCCTGATTGTCTAATAGCCACAACTGAGTGGATTACAAATCGGTGCAAGCAACATTTTGAATAGACTTAATTCCACTGATTTGTACACTTTAAAATGATTAAAATGGTAAATTTTGTTATGTTTTTAGCACAATTTTTTAAAAAAAGCATGAATGTAAGGTGAAACTCTGGTTGGTTTTAACATAGTATTTTCCCCAAAGGAAGTGTGATGGAGTTCAAATGAATTTTTGACTGATTGAATTAGGCAATGTATTAGTTCCTAGGGCTGCCATAACTGAGTACCACAAACCCCATGCCTTAAAACAACAGAAATTTGTTCTCTCGTGGTTCTGGAGGCCAGAAATATAAAATCAAGGTGTTGGCAAAGCCATTCTCCCTCTAAAAGCTCTAGAGAAGGATTCTTCCCTTGTCTCTTTCTAGCTTTCGGTGGTTACCTACAATCCTTGGCATTCCTTGGCTTATAGTTGCATCAGCCAGTCTTTGCCTTTGTCTTTGCATGGCCTTCTTCCCTATGTGTATTTTTATTTTCCCTTCTTATAAGGATACCACTCATTGGATTTAGGGCCCATATTAATCCAGTATGACCTCATTTTAACTAATCACATCTCCAAAAACCCTATTTCCACACAGGTCACATACCAAGGTTCTGTGTGGATGTGAAATTTGAGGGGACACTATTTAGTCTAGTATAGGCAGTGGTAAATTACATTACTGTGTAATCCTACAAATCAGAAATTCAGCCTATTAGAAAAGAATGTTCCAAACTTTCTTTCAAAGCTGAGACTTAGAAATTAGACACATTTTTAGAGAAAATACAGCTCTATAGAATAGAGAATAATGGGGAAATTTTTAAATATTTGACCTAAATAGCTTAATGCTTTTTCCCCAGAAGTAGTTTTCTAAATTAGGAATTTCCAAAGTCTAATGAAAAATTTGTTTAGTCTTATGTGGCACAGTGGTAAAGAATCCACCTGCCAATGCAGAAGATGCTGTTTTGATCCATAGATCAGGAATATCCCCTGGAGTAAGAAATGGCAACGCGCTCCAGCATTCTTGCCTGGAAAATTCCATGGACAGAGAAGCCTGGTGGCCTACAGTCCATGGGGCTGCAAAGAGTTAGATACGACTGAGCGCACACACTAATGAAACTGACGTTTTGATTTTAGTTCTAGTGCCCTGGTTATCTGGTTATCTTTTAGTGAAGTGAAGCTGAGAAACCTCAATTTCTCATGGATTTTGATGACACTTATTTGGGAACAACTAGGACAGTGTTTTTCAATGTCTGCCATGTTTATTAAAATAAATTGGAACCTTTCCTTCCTTAGGCTTCATATTATATTTCTGCTGCCCAGATGAATAATTTTGTGCCACAGTCCTTTGTACTTTTCCTCCACCTTACTCTCTTCCTCCGAGGTCCCTAACTGGAAATTCAAATGTATGAGAATGTTTTTGCTTGCAAGTGACTGACTATAATGTAAGCTAAAAAGCATTGGCTCATGTGCTTAGGAAGTTCAGACATGCATTGGCTTCTGTAGGTTATAATTTAGATCAGCAGTTGTTGAGAGTATCAAGGGACACCTGGAGATTACAAGACCTTTTCAGAGGGTCTACAAAGTCAAAAGTATTTTCATACTGGTAGTAAGCCATTATGTGTCTTTCCCCTCTTTCTTTCTCACTAGATGCAGTAGAATTTTCCGGAGGTTACATGATGTGTAGTGACATCATCACTGATAGATAATGAACTATGTCTGTATATTCATATATGTTAAAATTTTAATATAGTAAATATCAGTAGGTATAACCTACTTAAACAGAAGCTCTCTGGAGTCCTCAATAATTTTTAAGAGTGTAAAGGGGTCCTGAGGTCAAAGTCTTAGAAACCACAGGTTTAGGTCATGGTTCCATCCCAAAACACTAAGGCAAAGGGAATAGCATTTTCTGATCAGTTAGGCCTCAGTAATGTTCTCACCCAGAGGGTCAGCATCAGTTGAACCCCTGCGGAAAGGACTAAGATCAAGGGAGGATGGCTCTGGATACCATACGTTAGGTTAGTGCCTTGATAGGTTAGTAGTTAGTCAGAAAGGACTTAAACTAAGATATCAACT